ATCAGCAATATACAGCACATCCTTGCCAGCATTTGGTACTGTGAATGTTCCAGATTTTGGACATTCTAATAGGTGCGTAGTGCTGTATGTCATTGTTGTTTTAATTTGCCTTTTCCTGATGACATGTGATGTGGAGCATCTTTTCATATGCTTATGTGCTCTCTGTTTATCTTTTTTGGTGAGATATCTGCTAAGGTCTTTGGCCCATGTTTTGTTTTGGTTGTTTTTTGTTTTCTTACTGTTGAGTTTTAAGAGTTCTTTGCATATTTTGGATAACAGTCCTTTATCAGGTAAGTCTTTTACAAATATTTTCTCCCAATCTGTGTTTTGTCTTCTCATTTTCTTGACATTGTCTCTTCAGTAGCAGAAGTTTTACATTTTAATAAAATCTAACTTATCCTCAATTTCTTTCATGGATCGTGTCTTTGGTGTTGTATCAAAAAGGCATTACCACACCCAAAGTCACCCAGGTTTTCTCCTTTATCATCTAGGAGTTTTACATTTTTGCATTTTACATTGAGGTCTATGATCCATTTTGGGTTAATTTTTGTTATGTGTGTAAGGTCTGTGTCTAGATTTTTTTTTTTTTCATGTGAATAGCTACCTAGTTGTTCCAGCACCATTTGTTGAAGAGCCTATCTTTGCTCCATTGTATTGCCTTTGCTCCTTTGTCAAAGATTGCTTGACAACATTGAGTCTTCCAAACTAAGAATATGGAATGTCTTTTTACTCATTTAGTTCTTTTTTATTATATTAATCAGTATTTTATAGATTTGTTGTATAAATCCTGTACATATTTGTTAGATTTATATAAAAACATTTCAATTTGGGGGATGCAATGTAAATTGTGTTGTGTTGTTCATGTCAAATTCTACTTGTTCATTGTTGGTATGTAGGGAAGCAATCAGTTTTGTATACTAAGCTTGTGTCCTGAAAACTTGCCATAATCACTTAATACTTCCAGAAGATTTTGATCAAGTCTTTCAAATTTTCTAGATAGACAATCATGTCAACTGTGAACAAAGAGTTCTATGTCTTCCTTTCCAATCTGTATATTTCTGTTTCTTTTTTTTTTTTTTTTTTTTTTGCCTTGTTGCATTAGCAAGGACTTCCAAAATGATGTTGAAAATGTTGAGAGGGAATATCTTTGCCTTATACTTGGTCTTAGTGGGAAAGCTTTGAGTTTCTCATTGTTAAGTATTATATTAGCTGCAGGTTTTTGTAGGTAGTCTTTAACAACTTGAGAAGGTTCCCTCTATTTCTAGTTTACCAAGACTTTTCATCATGAATGGGTGTTTCTGTATTTATTGGCATGATCATGTGATTTTTTTCTTTTTTAGTCTATTGATTTAATGGATTATGTTAATTGATTTTTGAATATTAACCAGTCTTGCATACCTGAGATAAATCTCACTTGATTGTGGTCTGTAATGTTTTTATATATTTTTTAAAAGATTTTATTTATTTATTTGACAGAGAGAGACACAGAGAGAGGGAACACAAGCAGGGGGAGCAGGAGAGGGAGAAGCCGGCTTCCTGCTGAGCAGAGAGCCCGATGTGGGCCTCGATCCCACGACCCTGGGATCATGACCTGAGCCAAAGGCAACTGCTTAACAACTGAGCCACCCAGGTGCCCTAAACATTTTTTATACAATTTGTTAATATTTTGTTGAGGATTTTTGGATCTGTGTTTGTGAGAGATACTGGTCTATGGTTTTCTTGTAACCTTTTTTGTTTCATTTGTTTTTAGAGCAATGCTGGTCTCATAGAATGAATTAGGAACTATTCTCTCCGCTTCTATCCTCTGAAAGAGACTGTAGAGAATTGGTATAATTTCTCCTGTAAATTTTTGGTATAATTCACCAATGAACACATCTAGGCCTTTTGAAAAGTTATTAATTATTATTATTATTATTATTATTTTAAAGATTTTATTTATTTGAGAGAGATGGCAAGAGAAGGAATGCAAGCAGGGGGAGTAGGACAGGGAGAAGCAGGCTTCCCGCTGAGCAGGGAGCCCAATGCAGGGCTTGATCCCAGGACCCTGAGATCATGAACTGAGCCGAAGGCAGACACTGACTGAGCCACCCAGATGCCCCGAAATGTTATTAATTATTGATTTTCTTTTTTATAGAGAGAGAGAGAGTGGGAGGAGGAAAGGGAAAGGAAGAAAGAGAACCGCACACAGGTTCCACACCTAGCTCAGAGTCCAATGCAGGGCTCTATCTCATGATCCTGAGATCATGACTTGAAGTAAAATCAAGAGTCAAACACTTCATGGACTGAGCCACCCAGGTGCCCTGATCTTAATTTTTAATAGTTATAGACATAACATTGTCTATTTCCTCTTGGGTGCTTTTGGCAGATTGTATCTTTTAAGGAATTGGTTTATTTCATCTAGATTATCAAGTTTGTGGGCATAAAATTATTTACAGTATTCCTTTATCATCCTCCCAAAGTCCACAGAAATTGTATTTGATGTCTCCTCTTTCATTTCTGAGATTAGTAATTTATGTCCTCTTAGCCTGCCTCTTAGCCTGCCTTATTGATTTTACTGATCTTTTCATAGAACCAGCTTTTGATTTTGTTCATTTTCTCAATTGACTTTTTGTTACCAATTTCATTGATCTGCTCTAATTCTTAATATTTTTCTTCTGGTTACTTTGGATTTAGTTTGCTTATCTTTTGCTGGTTTCCCAGTGTGGAAACTTAGGTTATTGATTTTAGAGTCCCTCTTTTTTTCTAATGTATGCCTTCAATGCTGCAAATTCCCCTCTCAACACTGCTTTTACTGCATGCTACAACTTTTGATAAGTTGTATTTTCATTTTTATTTATTTCAAAATATTTAAAAATATTTCTCAAGAATTATGTTTTGACCCATGTACTATTTAGAAGTGTGTTGTTTAAGCTCTATATTTATGATTTTCCAGTTATCTTTCTGTTACTGATTTCTGGTTTAATCCCATTATGGTCTATGAAAAGAAGTTTTATGATTTCTGATCTTTTGAATTTTTTAAGGTGTGTCTTATGGCCAAGATTATGGTCTATATTTGTGAACTTTCCATGTGAGTTTGAGAAAAATGTTTACTCTTACTATTATCTCCACAGTTTAAAGATGAAAGGGTGAAGGAGCGATGGGCAAGAAAAAGCATTTGACATAGAATGAAAGACTGTTGGGTTGAGCACGTTTTAGACTCTATTGTACATATATTTCCCCTGGGGTTATTATTAAAGCCCAGCTTTTGGCTTTAGATTTTTGGAGGGGCCTTAAACTCTTCAGTTGTAACAAGCTCCCAGATGATATTGATGCTGCTGGTCTGTGGACCACACTTTCAGTAGCAGGAGGTGAGAAGATCTCTTATACAAGATAGCCCAAAACTCTCATTTCACAGGAGAAAACTTAGGGCTTTGAGGTCATGTGTGAATTTCATCTTGCCCACAGGCACAGTGTGAACCTGCTAGCCTGTAGTGGGTTTCTTCCGCTAGTATATCATTCAGTATCCCAGTCTCTTCACTTTCCAGTCTGTCCAAAAAGAAACCGAAGATCCAAGATGGTACACTGAATGGGAACAGCCTCGGGGAATCCAGAGTCTCTGAGGTTTGAGGGAACAGAGGAAATTCTGCAGTAAACTTTGGCTATATCTTCCATCAGACCCACTAGAGTTTTATGGGTAAGCCTAGATCTTATTGGAAAAAGATAAAATTACAGTTTTGTAGGAAAATCTGAAAAGTAGAAGGGCTAGGCTTATTTCGTTTCCCTGTGGATTGAAGGCTTGCACATCTTTGTGGTCTGTATAAGGGTTCTTGTAGGACTTGAAGTAATGGAACTTGAGAGCAATGTTTGGGTTCAAGCTGCTTTACAAGAGATCTTAGAAACTCTCTGATTGGAAAGGTCAAAACTTAGGGTACTTGGTGCTTGGTTATAGATACATAAAGGCCTTGAGTTGGTCTTTTATCATTCCTTTGTGACTGACTGATCAGCAGACAGGGAGAGGGACCCCAGCAAGCATTAGAGAAAGAGGGTGGGGCTAAGACCATTTAAATCCTGGGGAAAACACAAGCGTCTCACACGAGGTCACTTACTTAGATCACAGGAATCATGGGTTTACCAGGCTACAGTTACAGACCTCCTTTTATGAGTTACTTCTAGATCAGAGTCAGTGAGGCACGGGAGGCAAAAAGGACACTGGGAACCCACCATCTATTGTCATTTGTGGCACTTTTTTGCTAGTTATCACCTCCTGGAGATGACCAGAAAGAAGAAAATGTCTATTTTTGGATGAGATACTACAAATGTCTGAGGATTAGAAAGAAGAGCTCATAATGTCCAGAAACATGGAGAGGATGAAAGAAATACAATGGTTTTACAGATTTTACCAAGGACAAATTTATATTCTATCTTAAATATTTACCTATAGAATAGATCCAATAAAAGTTTAACAATTAATTTAATGAAACAACAGTTTTTAACTTCAATGTCCAGATGCCAAAAGAAGATTTCAACTTAAAGCAGCAAGCAGTACAAGCTAACCAAATATTTTTGAAATATAAATTTGTATCTGATTCTCCACTGCCAAGATTGACGTATGCTTTATATTCACGTAACATTTTTTTTTTTAAAGGACAAGAACACTTGTAGACTGAGCAGCATTTGCTATAAATGGGGAAAGCACTAGGGATTGCCGGAAGGATTAAATGAGAAAATTCATCCAAAACTCTACCCCCAGGCCCTGATATATAATAAATATTAGTAAATAATATCATAATCATGGGACCAATGAGAGCAACAGTAAAATAAATCATAGAATTAACAACGGTTCTGCTCAGATTCCGCACAGTAGAACTCCATTGAGCTTGGAAAGTCAGAAGCAGAGATGAGGCCCAATCTGCTCACCAACTGTAAAAGAAGTCCCCGTCAGATGCTGCTGAAACTACATTTCCCAGCAGCCCCTGGGCCCCAGTGTCTCGGTTTCCCTCATTTCCGGGTCTGTCATGTGACTCCCCGGGGACACCATGGCGGAAGCGGAGGAGCAGGTAAAGGCTGTAACTGTTAGGCAAGGGATTGAGAAGCGAGGATGAGCCGGTTGGGGCTTGGAGCGGAGCGTGATGGGTTGCGGAGCTGCGGGAGGGCGAGGCAGGTCGCCCACGGTGGGGCGCGCAGCTGGCAATGTCCATTTTGGGGAGCAGAGGAGCGGGTGGGATGTCAGCTCTTGGAGGGCACCGGGGCGGGGCGGGGGAAGCGCTCCGACTGCACCCCCCGGCGTTGGTGAGGCGGCCTTGCTTTGCAGCTGCCCCTGTGGCCTTTCCTCCGTGAAATTTTGGCTTGAAGGCAGCCTGGCTATCCCAGGGACTGACTGCTCTTGGGGAAGCGTAAGAGATGGCTTGAGTTTTGAGGCCAGGTGATTGAAATTTAAGTTCCTTTCCAGTCGAAGTTAAGGCAGAGTTGCTTTGCAAAAGAGCTAGCTTGGAGAAAGGAGATGATTTTTGTTTCGTACCTATTGTTTTTAGGTACAAAGCTAAGTCAGCTGTGGCGTGCAGCCGTGTTAAATGCATTTGTTCTGGATCAAAAATACCTACGTTCCCGTGGTGGTTCTCTTTCTTAATATGTGACATTGGGCTAGTTATTTAACTTTAAATCTAAGATGGAGATAAAAGAGTAACGTTCTATGAGAGTGGTTTAAGAAAGAATAAGTTAGTACAACAGTTAAAGTGCTTAGTAAAAGTTTGGCTGTAAGGCCAAAGAATTGCGTGAGAGTATTTGTTGCTGGCAGAACATCAGGCGGCAAAGCCAGTCCACGCTTGGCAATGTGGCGCTGGAGTTTAGAGTAATAGTTAGTGATGGCGATAAGAGTTATTTTCCTACAGGCAGTAGTGGTAGTAAAAGTTAGTTGAAATGAAAAAGTGATAATCAAGAAGACAGAAAAGTGCAAAGGCCAGAACGTGAGGAAATACACCCCCCCCACCCCTATTTCCAGGGCCCTTTCAGTTTGTCAGTGTTTTTCCTTACAAATTAACAGGGTCATCAGTTTCCATAATTGCTTCTAAAAAGTGATTTATGGTGAGCTGTACCATAACAAAAGAAGTTTAACTAGTTGATAATTTGTACCATTTGTAACATACTTCATTTACATAATGAAAATTTGCCTTGGGTACATTTGATAAATATCAGTAATTAAGAAATAAGGTAGAAATTTGGTTTGGGTGGTCATTGTGTTAACAGGAGTGTTGCTACCAGCCACTGAAGCCTCCCTTTTCTGATCCCGTCACTTTAAAGGAAAAATGCTCTTTAAGCACATGTAATTTCATGAGTCATTGCTAGGTTTGATGATAGTGGTGAGATTGGTTTTCACACTCTTGGTCTTTCAGGTTGAAATATAGCTTATTTGTAGTCTGACTTAGTAGTAAAAAGCCAAGATCTTAGATAGAAGGTAGTAAAAATGGAGAAAGTAGCGCTTGGTATTTATTTAGTAGTGTTTTGTATGGAAGTTTGGCAAAGTTGTCTGATGTAAAGAGCACATGTAGAAAGTTAGTGATATAATAAGAGTGCTTTGAATTTTTATAGCACTTTCCAGTGTAAACCCTTTATGTCACATTTGGTCCTTGCAAAAGAATTCTGTATGGTTAATGTTTATTCTGATATATAAGTCAGGACAAGCACTTGCTGTGTTCCAAACATTGTAATGGCTTCCCATTGCCCTCTGAGGAAAAGCCAGACTTGATTAGGATACTTGAGTTGCCCTATAGAACCTTGTCCCAGATGCTCGTTTTCCCTTTTCTGACTTTATTTTCCACTACTCTTCTCTGCTTCCCTTCTGTCACTGGGTGGCATCAGATATACTTGGCTTTCTTACTGTTCATTCAACAGGCTGGCATGTTTCTACCTCAGGGCCTTTACTTCTGCTGCTCCCTTTTTTTTACCCCAGATATCTATAGGGCTTTCTCCCTCAATTTTTTCATGTCTTTGTCCAAGTGTTATCTTTTTCAGTGAGATCATCTTTGATCATTCTTTGAAACCTCTTGCATTATTTTCCTCCTTAACTCTCATCACCATCTGACATAGTGTGTTTTAAAATTTCGGTTATTTGTTCTATATGTTTCTATGTTCATTTTTGTATATTCTCCCCATTAGAATGTAAGCTTCATGATGGCTAGGAATTGTTCACTGCTGTTTGCCTGATATCTAGAATAGTGCCACAGTATGTGTTAAATGATTGAATTGTACACATAAGCAAATGGAAGTTCAGACAACTAAAGTAACTTACTCAGGCTTGTATCTATAATAAGCCTCCAGTCTTCTATCGTAAGAGTTCACAATTTTTCACTAAAATGCTACACCCCACCTTTTAAAAAATACTAATTCTCATTTTAACTGGTTAATTCTATTAATTCTATATTATTAATTTAATTCTAATTTTTAACTAGAACCAACTTCTAATTTTTACTTATTTTATTATTATTACGTTATGAAATAAAGTGACCCCTTATCACCTTAATAAATGTCCTTCAAGTCATAATTTCACCTTGACACTTTAACAGTCTGCATACAGTTAGAGCAGGCATTCATTCTCCTTTCACTATCATTCTCAAAAAAGACCAGTACTTTGTCAATTGCAGAAAGAAGCAAACATTCACAAATTGTCCTGTTTATTTTTTAAAGCTAGTAAATAATTTTACCTATATTATCAGTCCTTTATAGATGAACGATGGTTAGACTTTTCTCACCCTGCTTGATTTGTGCATTTCACAGTAGGAAGCCATTAAAATCTGGCCTTTTGTATATAGTTTTTTAAAGGCTAAAAGGGCACAAAAGGGGAGGTAAATGAAATTGCTAATTGTTCTCTTCTGCCACTTTGAACCTTTTAGAAAATCTTGACATAATTTCCCCCCCGGAACGCTTTATGAACTGAGATGTGTATTAAAATTAGGTACAGTGATGGGTTAAGTCAAAAGAAGCTTTTCCTTGGCATCATGCACTCTCACTACAAACAGCCCTTTATGATGCGCAAGACAAAACTAAATCTCTCCTCTTTTCTGAGCATTGTATTCTTTGGTGATTGTGGTTTTTTCCCCTTTAATTCTAGAAAGAACCAAAATAGTAAGATCTGTACTGAATTAACATAATGTAATGTAGTTCATAGGCTCTCAAACTAGAAAATCATTTTTTTGGATATGATTGAACATTTTTTGAAGTCATTGGGAAATCTTTGTGCTGGGTATGGTGAAGGTAGTTTGCAGAAATAACTACATGTATATTACATAGTTCACAGAATGGACTAATACCCTTTATTCTGCCTGGAAATCTTCTAACCAGCAGTTTCACTTAGCTCTAAAGTGATTTATAGGTGACCTTCATTATCATAGATGCCCAACAGTATTTGTTCATACCTCTTTTATGGATAACATTCTGCTTGAAGTCTGGTTGTTTGTGTATTTGTCTTATCTCTACTACAGATTGCTGAGTCTTCAAGAATAAGGACAGAGCCTACTTATGTCTGTATCTCTCACAGGGCTAGTGCTTTACAGGTACTAGGTGCTTAATAAAATGTTTAAATGAATTCATTAGGAGGAGAATAGCCTTCTTAATTGAAAATGTCAAATTATAAATTAGATGCAGTGGAATTTGTGTTGTTTTATCTTAACTTGAAACTTTTGCAAGTTAGTAATTCAAATGTATTGTAGATTACATTTCCCACATTCCTGCTCTGCCATCCCCCCCGGGGTACCCTTTCGATTTTCCAACCAACCATCAGGGAGCCTAGTCTATTAAAATATTTGATCAGTCAGACCACATATTCCTTGACAAGAGAGAAGAGTTCCTTTTTTGAATTTTCCCTTTACATTTTAGAATTTGGGGAATTGTTATCCTTATCATAGAACATTTACTGTTTATCAGACGGCAGTTCAGGAGCACGCATACTCCCACGTGATTGTGCCCCATGTGTAAAATATAAGTCAAACCAACAAATACTTCCCTCCGTTTTCTTGCCTGCAAACTGGGGCATTTAGTTTCCAGAACCCTTGTGAGTATGAAATGAGATAAAATATGTTAACGTGGCCAGGTCAAAGTGTCTTTCTATGTCGGACGACATAGTTTATTATTCAAACTTGGGCTTTGCTCAAGTATGTAGTAGTCTCTTTTTTTTAATAGTTTGATCGAGATCTTTTAAAAGCAACTTCACTAATCACAGAAGAAATAAAGCCAGACAAGAGTTTGCTAAAACAAAGAATCAGAAATTTTGGGAAGATCCACTCTTTACCATCGTGTAACTAAAGTGTAGTCACAGATTGGCTTAGCTGGACGTGCTTATTGCATTATGAGTTTTTCCTCTCCTCTGTGTCTGGGCTGGCTGACTGAAGGCCGACATCACCAGCTGATTATTCGTAGTTTCTCTGGTACCCACATCACCACTTCGGAGAGGGAGCCCTCCTCAGGTCTGGGGTTCTGTGTTTCTTGCAGCTCCCCATTCTTGGCTGTTCAGTCGCCCTTGCCTCTGTTTCTTCTGGGCACTTGCTCCCTCCTCATTGTTTTTGTTACCACATGCTTGTGATTCGAGGCTCTTATGTAGACTGACAGCATCAGAAACTGTGAAGATGGAGTGTTTGCCTGGGTGTTAGCCAGTTCCCCAAACTGAGTTTCTGTGATCGTGATGCAGTCAGATTTGGTACTGGGTCACTAGGTCGCCTCGCTGGTCCCTTTTTCCACACTGGGCAGACATCCAGGTTTTCCTTCCTTTGCAGACTAGGATGAGTGTGGTAGCTGAGCCTGTGGGGCTCAACGGGGTTGGTACCCTGAGTCTGCCTGCTCTTGCCTGCTCCCCAGGTGCTCTTTCATCTTTGCTACTCAACCAGGCTTTTAGAAATTGAGGCCTCAATGATACAGGAATAACAGATACGTATCACACAAATATATCCTCTTATGTCTGCCTGTGTCTGACATTGGATCTCTCTCACCCTGTCTTCCACTAAGCTTAGCTGTGTCATGCAGTCTGTAGGGAAGGAGAGAGGTTGGCAGTGCACCATTGAGTGTTTCAGGTCCATCCCCAAGCCAGGCTGATTGCCTGGGGCCTGGGCTGTGCTGTCTTTCTTCATCCTGCCGGCATCAGAGCAAACCTTCCTGGGGCTCCAGCCTCCATTTCTTCCCCAGATTCTGCACATACACCGCCCCCACTGCCAATAGTATACAGGTTCAAGAGGGGCCATGTCAAGGCACCAGGATTGTTGGATACATGATTGAGTGTAAAGGATTGGTTTGCAGAACAAGTTGTTGAGTTTAGCTTTCAGCTGTTGCCTAGATTTTGTTCTGCTTCATGTTTGTATCACTCTGTGCCTTCTAGCTCATCATGTTTGCTTCGAACAGAGCAGCATAATTTTTTTTTATTGTGGTAAAATATACATAATATTTACCACTTTAACCATTTTTAAGTGTATGATTTGGCGACATTAAGTCCATTTGCATCGTTGTTCAGCCATTACCCCACCATCCAACTCTAGAACTTTCTGTCATCACAGACTGAAACTCTGTACCCATTAAACACTAATCCCCCTATCACCCCACCCCAACCCCTAGTCTCTTCTGTTCTACTTTCTGCCTCATATAAGTGGAATCTACAGTATATGTCTGGTTTATTTCACTTAGAGAACAGCACAGTTTTGTAACTTATATTTTCAAGATTTAAGTTCTTTAAAAGAGTGTGAAGTTAAAAAATGTTTGAAAACCACTGACTCTTTCTGAATTGTAACCTTTCCCACTGTTCAGCCTAGCTTCTTGGATCCCTCCCTGGGACATTCACTTGCTAACTTCTGGTTTGCCCCTCAGTCTCTAGAACATTAAACACAGGGGCTTATTGAGTGGATGAAGCTAAGAAACAGGAGGCCAGACTGATTCCTGAAATCACTCATGCATTGCTTCGGTAGGATTGTGGACAATATGTGATTTCTCTTGAGGCCACAGCTCCATTTGGGAGGTTTTTGCTGGTGCTGGGGGTCGGTTTGAGAGTGTCTTGGAGTAAATATTCTCACTGATACCAGCAGCCCCAGGAAGCTTCTCTGAGAGCCTGGTTTTCCCTGAAGACTTGGTTTTATGGGAGCTGCATGCCGCATGGTGTCGGATTCTGGGGCTGCATGCTTTTCAGTACAGAGCAAGAGTGTAATTGGATTTTGAGTTTTGGGTTGCTGGGCAGGGACATATACTTTTGTTTTAATGAAGAACATGAATGGGACATTTGCCCCTTTCCCCCCTGTACCTAGTTGAATGGATTTCAAATAAGAAATTTCCTTAGGTTTAATGAAATTTTTCTGGAAAGAGCAGTCCAGTGTCCTTTTAGAGTCTTGAGTTGGGGAATAGGAATCTAGGTGCAGGTCACTGGCATGGTTGTCAAAGCCTCGTTTTGCTGATGTTAGTAACTCAATATTCAGGAACAGTCAGGGGCGGAAAGGGTGTCAGAAGTCATTAAGTTCAGCCTTTAAGCCTCAGTGTTCTTACCTCGAGGGTCATTAGGAAATTCTAAGATGCTACATGCAAAGCATTTAGCATTGCGGAGATATATATAATAGATGTTCAGTAAAGATGTCAGAATGGTGACTGTTAATAATAAATGGAGTGTGTCCAAAAGAGAAGGATCAGGATGGTAAGTGGATGAGAACCAGGATCTGGGGATGGTTAGCACAGAGGAAAAACAATTTAGAAGGGCAAGCATGATACGTGTCATTAACTCTGGAGAACTGTCAAGTAGTAGAAGAATTGGATTTTTTATGTGTCTTATTGGTGCTAAGAACAAAAAGTTACTGTGGAGAGATTATAGCTCCAAATTAATGGGAATTTTCTAGTACTTAGAAGAACATTCAAACTAAATAGGCCACGTTGAGATTTAGAACAGATTCTTAGATTCCTCATGGGTAATGATACAAGTACAATAAAACTCTTAATTTTAGGTAGCATTCATCCCCATTTTACAGATGGCCTTTGAGAGCAGGAACTATATTGTCCACAAGGCATTCCACAGGCAGCCGGCCACCTTCCAGGCTCTTCTTAATTTTCCATGAATGAAAATAAAATTTTTTCAAACACCAGATTTGTGTCTCTGCTGCTATACAACTTGTGCCGAGTAATATATGCATCTAACTTGCTTTAAAATGTTTATTTTTTTTTTCTTGAAAAATACTAGTCATATCTAAAATGTCCTTGCCCCATTTTTTTGTTCTTTATCTCATGGATCGTTGTAAAATGCTTACATTCAGTGTCAGCATATTAGTTGTAACCTTTTATTGCTATTGATATCTATAAGTACGTTAAGTAAATCTTCATTTTGCTGACCTCTTTGAGGATGCATGGCATCAGCAGATTCTCTCTTTCACTGGACAGGTGAGAGATTAGCGGGATCAAGTCAATTTTTTCCCTTTTTGCTTTGTTTTCTCCAGAGCAGCAAGATTCATTGTCTAGCAAGGGGGAAACTGTGTTAAATGGCAGAATTTGTCTTCCAGTTAATGGTTTAAAGAGTGAATGTAAATTATGGAGGTGGTTTGCACAATGTCTGATAGGTACTACTCTAAGGGAATTCTTTTGTAAAAAGCTGTTTAAGCGAGACAATCATTTTGACTTCACCAGATTAATAGCACAATAATTAATAGCACAAGGGCTTTTCAGTATAAAAATTGGCTTATAGATAATTTGAGATGGCAGTTTCCTCTTCCCTTCCAAGATCAGTAAGTAAGGCTGCTTTGCCAGACCTATTTCCATTTTTAGCGAAAGAAAGAGCTTTCTGTGTACTCACACGATAGTTCCTGAGGCCATTCGTTAACCTGCTGTCCACTCGAGGGAGGTCAGCAGGAGCTGGGGGTCTGAGTGGCCCCGGAATAACCATCTCAGTCCTGCCAGATGTGGGAAGTTGTGGGAGGCCCACAAGGCGTGGAGTCTTTCAACTGTAGCTGCAGATTACTTCCCAGAAAGGGCAGGTGGATGTGGATGGTGGGGATGGGATGACTCTTTTCCCGTATTTTATTCTTTTGTCATCCTTCTGACTATTTTCCCCCTCTGTGCTTTGTAGGAAACTGAGTCTCTTGAGGAATCTACAGATGAGTCTGAGGTAAGATGGTGGTTCGGGAGCCTGAGGATTTCTGGCTCGCCATGGTATCTTGTTCTGCCTTATTAAATGAGACATTGCTGAGGATTGGGGGGTGAGGTAAAATAGGGCCATGGGTGATTGAGCCTTGGGGAAGAACGTGACAGTTGTCTTTAAAAATATTAAATGGATTGACTTAAACAGGAAAAGGAATGCTTTCTCCTGATCTTGAGTAGTAGTTTAACCCAAAGTCTGTTGGCAGTGGGAACTTTGATGCAGAGTTTTACAGACTAATTTTGACACTTAAAAAAAAAAAAAATCTATATTTTAGGGGCCCCTGGATAGCTCAGTTGGTTCAGCATCTGACTTGATTTCAGCTCAGGTCGTCCTCTCAGGGCTGTGAGACGTAACCCCAAGTTGGGCTCCGCACTGGGTGTGGAGCTTGTAAGATTCTCTCTCCCTATGCCCCTCCCCCCTCCCCCACTCTTGAGTGGGCTCTGTTTCAAAAATCAATCAGTCTGTTTTAAAACAACCACTGTAGGTTCTCTAATATTTATTCTTTCTTCATTCTTTTAATGAATATGCCATGTTCACTGATGTAATTTCTAAATCATGGAAATTATAGTTTATTTCATAAAATAAGAAGGAAAGTAACTACCTGAAAAACTGTTAAGGAGCTAAGTTGTGCTAAAGGTTATATTTTAAGGAGAATAAATATATAAAAAATATTTATATATCTATAAATGTATAATATATATTTATAAAGGTATAGTTATAAGTATATAATAAATGTAAATATTTATATATTTATAAAAATAGATTTTTTTTAAATTTTTAAAGATTTTATTTATTTATTTGACAGAGATCACAAGTAGGCAGAGAGACAGGCAGAGAGAGAGGAGGAAGCAGGCTCCCCGCTGATTAGAGATTCTAATGCGGGGCTCGATCCCAGGACCTTGGGATCATGACCTGAGCCAAAGGCAGAGGCTTTAACCCACTGAGCCACCAGGTGCCCCCAAAATAAAAATTTTTTAAAAATTTTCAAGACTATGCGTAAGATATAAATTTAAGTATGACACTAGTGAACTACCAATTTTACGGGTGGACTATTAATAATAATTACATTTTTTCCTTTTAATATTTCATTTAGCTCAGAGGAATGAAAAAATATCTATGATAACCTGCTGGAAATTCACACCAATGTGACTGTAACCAATAGAGTCTATACATTTAGGTTGATGCTGCATACAGTTATTATATGGATTTTGTTTGCTTGTTCAGGGAAAAGGTGGGTTTAAACGTATTCTTCTAGAGAACATCTTATATGATACGCTACTGTGCATTTGCAGTTTGGCTGTAGAGCCATGATTCCTAATATTTGTGCTGCTGAGGATCTCTGATCCTCTCTTTGGGGCTCCTGATAAGGCACTACAGAATTTGCTTATAGATACGGTATAATACTTGTTGATTTTTTTTTTTTTTTTGATAGGGAGAGATCACAAATAGGCAGAGAAAGAGGGGGAGCAGGCTCCCCGCTGAGCAGACAGCCTGATGCAGGGCTCGATCCTAGAACCCTGAGATCCTGACCTGAGCCAAAGGCAGAGGTTCAACCCACTGAGCCACCCAGGTGCCCCAATACTTGTTGATTTTTAATAAAATCCTGAAAAGCAATTTAGCTTCCCATTCTCATATTTGGAGATTTCCAGTTAACCATATTCTCAGAAACACTGGTATAGAATTCTGCAGTGTTGGAGCCCTGTCCAAGAATTTCATTTCAGAGGATGTTGGCAGCCACCTAAATAAATATTTCCACACATCCTTCTGATACTAAACGGATCCACAAGGAGAGCAAACGAGACACACATAACTCATCCCTCCAACGTAATCAGGAAACAGGGTGTGCTGTAAACTTCAGTGTAAGTGGGGGAATACATATCCAAAACCAGCAGAGCCAGCTCCGGATTGAGTCTGGAGCTGAGTCCAGAGGAGGCGAGTTGGAGATGAAGAGACTGTAGCTGAGTCCCAGCAGGAGTGGTTTCATGCAAAAGTGTCCCCTCCCCCAGGAGGGAAACGGCCCCACCCTGAATGGGCAGTCCTGAGAACAGGTCTGACAGCTGCTGGATCTGAGCACTGGCTGTTAGGGAATTTAAATGAGGGGGCTTGACAGGGTGTGGGACCAGAGGGGACAGTGTTGGGATGAGGCTGGTACTGGAGAGAGAGGGGAGGCATCCCTTGAAAGCATGGTGGTGACATTACAGGAAGGGGAGGAAATTAAAGGTACGAAGCGGGAAATCAGGATACTTGCATCCCCTCTCTCTCCCAGAAAAAGTACCACTTCCTAAAGAAGATGCACTTCATTTATCCGTGTAACTAAGAGACCTAGGAAACCTTTCAGATAACCTCGTCCTCTTCATAGGAGCACCTCTTGTTGCTGTCCTGGCAATCTGAGACTCGTAAAATTGAACAGGGATGGCAGGGAGCGTCCATTCAAAAAACTATGGTATGGAGAGCAAGTGAAAACCAAACATTTTCAGCTGAAACAAGCAGCAGCATAACACTCCATCATAACTTGAATGTCTTTAAACAAGCATTTGCAGATAGAGAAAACTATCTTAAAACAGAACTTTTAAAACTCAGAATAGAAATGGACCAAAAACTAGGAAGGAAGGAAATAAGAGCTGACCACTTAGGAAAGACATAGAAGGAGAGGATCATTCTTGTAAAGTTGACGAAACCGAAACCGAGACGCAAAAGGTAACCTGATCGTCTAATCTCAGACAGCTGGTTCACAGACGTGAGTTCAAACTCAAGCCCCAGATCTGGGCTCTTCCCATCATTTTTCCTGCTGGCTCTGGTGTCTTCTCCATCGGCTGGGACAGAGGGACTGTGGAGGCAGGCCTTGGGTTCATGTCTCAGCCATACTTTGTACCTGCTCTGTGGCCTTGCACGCAATCTCTCTGTTCCTCAATTCCTTCACGTGTGCCTTGTGGGTTGCCCTGAGGGTTAGATGAGATTGCTCTTTGCAAAGCATGTTGTGCAGTGCCTAGCACGTGGGAAGCCCTCCCCGAAAGCTAGTGATCCTCAGCTTCTATTTTAGAAGGAGCGCTGGTCTCCTCTTACAGCCTGGGGCTTCAGCTGCAGGGCTTGGGGAGACTCCCCGAGACTCTGGGACTCAGGGTGGTTACTCTCCCATCTGGGTTTTCGTGGGTTCATGGGCCAACAAAGGAGTCAGGCTGGTGATAGGCCAAGTTTGGGCTTTTTAGTATGGTGAGTTGGTTTATAATCCAGTCTTTGGAGCTGTTTGTTCTGGGTGTCTCAATTTGAATCACTTTCCAGATCCATGCTCGAGATTGTAAGACACTGTTCTGTTGCCAAAAAATCTTTATTTTTCCTTTTCTCCTCTTCCTCTATCACCCCACTAGGTTTTGTACTGTTGGTTCCCCTTTCACAGGGCGGACATTTCCTCCATGTACTTCTCCCTCTTTATTCAAGTGCTCAGATAGTTTCCATTTCTGCAAACAACAATGTTTAGTGTTTTCAACCATGAATTGTAGCAGTTTATCTGTTTTCCTTAGGAAAGCCACATTTCTTATAGACTGGGCCTTTATACTGAGAAGACCCTAGCGTTAGGTTTTTCTGAAACTATTATTTTTAAAGTTTGAATGTAATTTTAATTAAAAAATTGTTAATTGTGGTAAAATATACATATTTTATACATATAAAATATACATAACATATACATAACAAGAATTGCCATATTGGGGCACTTGAGTGCCTCAATTGTTAGGCCTCTGACTCTTGATTTTGGCTCAGGTCATGATCTCAGGGTCATGAGATTAAGCCCCTCTTTGGGCTCACGCTCAGTGTGGAGTCTGCCTGAAGTTCTCTCTCTCCCTCTTCCAGCGCTTGAGCTCTCTAAATAAATAAATAAATAAAATCTTTGAAAAACTTGCCATCTTAACCACTTTTAAGTGTATAGTTTAGCATTGTTAAGTACATTCACATTGCTGAGCAGCCTACCTCCGGAACTTGTTTATCTTGCAAAACAGAAATTCTGTGCCATCAAATTACAACTCCCTATTCCCCCACCAGCTTCTGGCAATCACCTTTCTACTTTCTCTGTCTGAATTTGACTGCTCTAGAAACCTTATATAAGTGGAATCATGCAGTATTGGTCTTTTGGGAACTGGTTTATTTCATTTAGCAGCATGCCCTTAAGGTTCATCCATTTTGTCACATAAGTCAGAATTGCCTCTTTTTTTAAGGTTGAATAATATTCCACGGTATGTCCATACCACATTTTATGTGTTCACCCACTGATGGACACTTGAGTGGCATTTACCTTTTGGCTTTTATGAGCAGTGTTACAATGAACATGAGTTTAAAAGTATCTCTTTGAGACATTTTGCTTTTAATTCTTCTGAATATGTACCCAAAAGTGGAATTGCTGGATCACATGGTAATTCTATTTTTAATTTTTTGAGGAACCACTATACCATTTTCTCATTTTCCATAGAGACTGCACCACTTTATGTTCCCAGCAGGAATGCATGGGGGTTCTAATTTCTCCACATCCGTGCCAACACTTGTTTTTTCTTTTCTTTTTTTTTTTTTTTAATAGTAGCCGTCCTGACAGTTATGAGGTGATATTGTGGTTTTCATTCACTTTCCTAATGATTAAGTGATATCAAACATCTCTTCATAAACTTTTTGGCCATTTATATATTTTCTTTGAAGAAATGTCTGTTCAAGTTCTTTGCCCATTTTCAAATTGAGGTTTTGGTTTTTGTTCTTGAATTGAGGAGTTCTTTATATATTCTGGATATTATTCTGTATCAGATAAAAATGGATGGATGGATAGAAAAGGATAGAGATATACATATTGTATTTATATATAATTCAGCAACCTGTGAATAGAATAGATGGATAGATGTATTGACATATAGATACAGATCTACAGAGTTGTGATTTAACTATGTCACTATAAAGAATATAAATAATGTAATATATAAAAAATATAAGGG